TTTCATTGCTGCAATGCTTTGGAGTCATAGCCTAGAAAGCAGAGCTGGAAGGGATTGTGGCCTTTCATTTAATCCATGGGGTGCTCTGGTTTCATTTGAAGGACTCCACTGGTAATCACTGCTCCAAGCTGCATGTTGTGCCATGTGTGTTTTGAGGAGGAGGTGATCAGCAGCCATAGGTGAACAGTACCTTAAAAGCCCCTGAACTGCTTCATTCCCTGCCCCAAAAGAGAGCCCACTTCTGGCAAAACCAACTTGGATTTGTTCAGAAATGTCCAGGATGGCACTGTTATCCTCCCATGATGGTGTTTTCCAGAGTCTGGCTACCCTTAATCACCTCAGCAAGCATTTCCCTGTGCTTGACCAGTGTTTCTTTTCCTGCAGTTTAAGCCCAAGGCTTTTTGTTCTGTTCTGAATGGACATTCAGAGCAGTTTACTTCCTTCCTGCTTGAATTCAAGAACCTTTTTGGTCACTTGAAAGCTTATTTTTTTTCCCTTCAGTCTCTATGCTCCAAGCCACTTCCTCCCTTTGCTGGTTTATAGGGTTTAGTCTGACAAAATGGAGGCTGAGGCCTCCTGTGCCTTAATAGAGATAGTGGCTGTAGGAGCTGCTTTGGTGATGGGCAGGCCCTTGGTGATGGGAAATGTTTGTGCTGTACCCCTCGCTGGCCCTTCTGGATGGGGCAGTGATGGTCATGCCTCTTTCCCAGTCTCCCAGGCTCTGCGAGAGAACACGTACCCATTCCTGGCTGTGATCATGCTGAAGGATCGCAGGATGACAGTAGTTGGGCGGCTGGAAGGCCTTATCCAGGCTGATGACCTCATTAATCAATTGATGTTCATCATGGATGCCAACCAGACATACCTGGTGTCCGAACGCCTGGAAAGGTATGATGGGACCTGAGCTCCAGTTATGCATGCCTTGAGGAGGCAGGATCTGCTCTGCTCTGCTCTCCCTCCAGACACCATTTGTAGGCAAACAGCTTGTTATCTCCTGTCCTGTAACGTATCCCATGGGCTCCCTTCTTCCCAGTGAGATCACTGGTCCGTAAATTTAGATTGCCCTATAACCAGGGAGCTGGATGTGTTGCCCACAGCTGAAAGGTGGGTGTGAGTGCTCTACTGTTCTCTGCAGCTGAAGCAGACCCTTAGCATGCTGGAGCTTTGCAGGTAAAGCTCGGATGATGGTAGAAGCCAAGTGGGAGCAAAGGCACTGCAGCCAGTTGGTGAGCAAGAGCTGCTGCCTGGAATGGCTTTCTTGGATTTTCACTGTGTTTATGGTAGTGTCCAAAGTAGGGTGCTGCTCTATTGTCTTCTGTCTGCCCCTCCTCTGCCCCATGCTTTCTGTGGGGACCCAGTAGCGTTTTGATGCCTGTGTTTCTGATTTGTGCAAAGAATTAGCTTGAGGAGGTAAAACCGTGAAGATCCTCAAGTATGAGGCAGAAATCCTGGGCACTGTTATGTGCTGTCCACTCTGCCATGCTGCAGTGGGTGAGGAGCTGTCTGTGTTCAGTTCACGTCCACTCAACTGAGGGGACACAGTTTGTGTGCTGGGGATGTGGAAACCCTGCTTCCCTTTCCAGAGCTTGTGGAGCTCCTGAGGCATTACCTGATGTGTGTGCTTCTATGAGCTTGAGGCTGTACTTGCACCCTCGGGTCTGCCCTGAGCCTGCTAGCCCTGACTGCTTCCTGCTCATGTTTGTAGGGAAGAGAGGAACCAAACCCAAGTCCTGAGGCAGCAGCAGGATGAGGCATATCTTGCATCCTTACGTGCGGACCAGGAAAAGGAGCGCAAGAAGAAGGAGGAAAGGGAGATGAAGAAGAGGAAGGAGGAGGAAGTGCAGCAGCAAAAACTAGCAGAGGAGAGGCGGCGGCAGGTGAGAGCAGAAGGAGTGCTGGAGAGGCTGCTGTGCCCTGTGGGATGCTCACGCTCTGTAGGAGCAGTGCCTGCAGTAGGGCTTGTCTTGGAGTTGCTTGTCTTGCTCAGGGCTTGCGTGTCCTCAAAGCCTCCTGGAGTGGCTGTGCTGCAAGGGGCAAGCACAGAGGCCAGTTCAGTGCTGCCCACTGCCCCTGCTCTCTCCTTTGCAGACGCTGCAGGAGGAGAAGGAGCGCAAGTCGGAATGCCTTCCCCCCGAGCCACATCCCGATGACCCAGACAGCGTCAAGATCATTTTCAAGCTGCCTAATGATTCCAGAGTGGAGCGGCGATTCCACTTCACACAGTCCTTGACGGTGAGCTTGGGGCAGAGCTGTTGGGGCTTCCCAGGGTATGAGAGGGTCAAGGGGTTCTCCAGGTGACTCAGCAAAGCTTTGGTTCCATTGGACTTTGCCAAATGATGACTTTTGCCAAGAGCCTCATCAGGCAGAGTTGTTCCTGGGTATGGAGGGTGTTGTGGGGCCTGGACCCACCAGCTTAGAAGAGATTAGAGGGGAAATGAAAAACTTTTTCTTCTCCTGGGACTCTGGTTGGTTCTTTATTAAATAATGGTGTAGGAAGAGCCAGAAACAGTGTCTGGACTCCCCAGGTGCTCTGACAAGTCCCGTTTCACCCATGCTAAGAAAATAGCTGTCTCATGTCTGCAGTGCAGTGATGGTGCAAATTCTGTACCGTTCCCCCCATGAGATGCCATGGCTGCAGCGTGGCTGTGTCATTGCTCCCCCGGCTGGCAGTTATTCCTGTGCTTCTTTCCCAGGTGATCCACGACTTCCTGTTCTCCTTGAAAGAAAGCCCTGAAAAGTTCCAGATTGAGGCCAACTTCCCTCGCCGGGTCCTGCCCTGCCTCCCCACAGAGGAGTGGCCCAACCCACCCACATTGCAGGAGGCCGGACTCAGCCACACGGAAGTCCTCTTTGTGCAGGACCTCACGGACGATTGATGCTTCTTTCCAGCAGCCACAGCATGGAAAGAGAAATTCATATTATTATTATAATACAATATTTTTTTTAAATGACTGCGTACAAAAGAGGGATCAGAGACCACGTGGCCTGTGCTGAGTGTGTGTGCACTGGCGAGAGGAAGTGTGTGCGTGCGTGGCCTCACACACCCCCGTGCACAGCCATCCCCTACACTTGGAGGGCAGAGAGGGAGGGGAGCTGGTGTTGCCCCTCCATCCTCCCTGGGGAGGACCAGGAATGGCAGCTCTTGGGAATTCTTGCTTTTATTGACGACAATAATAATAAAACCCCGACAACCTGAACATCTTGTGAAGATTTTGATACTGCTGCTCCTGCCAGCTGGAACACCAGGCACCTGAATGTGCTGGGAGTGGGGTGGGAAGGGCTGGACAGAATCTCTTCAGCTTCCCTCTGTGTATAAATATCTTTCCTTTTAATATTTCTCTTGCTTTGTAATGACCAAAGGAGAAGGGGGTTAACTGTAGTATTAACTTTTTTGATAAAGAGCTGGTTCGATTCTTACCCGTGTGGGGTCTTGCCCAGGGTTCTTAGCCTGCGTAGTGTAATAAACTCTGCCTCTAGCATGTCTGTGCCAATGGTGTCTGCCTATGCCCCCTGCCCCACCTGGGCACCAGGGAGGGGGTTCCAGCTGCTGCACCTCAGCTGTTGGCCTTGAACTGGTCCTTTCGTGCTGTGCGAGACAGGAGCATGCACAGCACAGGGGAGCCAGTGCTGGGGTTGCTGCTGGCCTGTGGCAATGAGCTCCGGGCTGAGGCTGGGGAGGAGGGAAATGGCCCTTTCTCTGCTCAGAGGGCTGGGTAGACCCTTCTCCCTCAAGTTTGAGGTGAAAAGATGACATGCAAAGTAGGTGTAAGCTTGTTGCCCCTGGGACTTGGTCATGGCTGAGCTGTGGTGCTGTCAGCTCCTGCCCAAAGGGAGAGGGCTGGCAGCATGTCCCTTTCCTACCTGCTGGTCACCTTTCTGAGCAGATAGCCATGTGCTCATGCCTGCATGAAGCACAGAAGGGAGCGGGGAGCTCTCTCCCTTCCACCATTTCTGCAAGCTGTAAATCAACCCTGCTTCCCTGTCTTTTTTAACAGAGAGAAGGAGCCTTTCATTTTCCTCCCAAAGAGCTCTTCACCCTTTCTGGCCTGGAGCAGCTCTGGTTGGGGGGGGGAGCCTTGCTCTCATCCTTGGCGAACTGGAGCTCCTGCCCTCCTGTTGCAGGTGTGGTGGATGTGTCTGTTTCCTCTGCTTGAAGTGCCAGCCTGGGGCTGCTGACATTGCTGGGGCCAGCCTGGCTGGACTGGTTTCATACCCAGCCAGGGTGTGCACGGACCACCTGGCTGCTGCTGGAGCCACCCAGGAGGATGCCCTGTCCCAGGGTGGCAGCTGTGAAGGATCTCCATGTGAGAATGAGGGGATCCTTTGTGCTGCTGCATCAAGACCCCTCTTTTGATCCAGCAGCAGAGGGGGCACAGCACAAAAGGGGTGTGGAGCTGCTGGAGTCAGGTAAGATAATCCAAGGGTTGGAGCACCTCTGCTCTGGAGCCAGGCTAAGAGAGCTGGGTTTGTTCAGCCTGGAGAAGAGAAGGCTTTGGGGAGACCTTAGAGCAGCTCCCAGTGCACAAAGGGACTACAGGAAACCTGGAGAGGGGCTTTGGACAAGGGCCTGTAGGGACAGGCCAAGGGGAATGGCTTTAACCTGACAGAGGGGAGACTGAGATGAGCTCTTAGGCAGAAGCTCTTCCCTGTGAGGGTGCTGAGGCGCTGGCACAGGGTGCCCAGAGAAGCTGTGGCTGCCCCATCCCTGGCAGTGTTCAAGGCCAGGTTGGACAGGGCTTGGAGCAACCTGGTCTAATGGAAGGTGTTCCTGCCCTTGGAGCTGAATGAGCTTTAAGGTCCCTTTCAACACAAACTTTTCCACAATTCTATGACCCAGCCACCTCATGCTTCCACCCCTGGCTCTCCAGGTCTCTCCTCCAAACCCACCCTGGGGCTCTTCCCCCTGCTAAGTGATGGCCTGGGGACCCCCATCCCTGAGCAGAGCATGAGCCCGGCCTCAGCCCTGCAGCCCACAGAGAGACAAGAGCCAGGGTGCAGCGTGTTGGTATACATCATACATTTATTAGTGAATATCCCTCTCAAAATCAGCCACAACATTAAAAAAAATAATGATTGCACTACTTGGTCAAGCAGAACTAGCAACTTTCATTTTAAAAAAAGTACAAATCTGTTAAAAATTTCAATCAGTATAATACACATATATATAATACAACATACTAGTTATGTTAAATGCTACAAAACCAATATGATTCCAATGGAATGGAAAAAAAACAAACACTTTTAGAGCTTTTAAGAACCTTTTTTTTTCTATATATTAGCCTTTTTTCAAATACATACATGGGAAAAATGAGGTAACTGTAAAATGTGCAAGTAACAGAGCAAAAAAAATTATATATATATATTTATATATATATATATATATATAAAAACTTTCTAACACAGAACACACGTCCTAGCACCTTCCGGGGAGCCGCGGGGGCCGCGGAGGTCCCACCGGAGGGCCCGGGGACTGGTATAATAGAACAGTAAACAGTCCACTATCCCACCACAGGAAATCATTGGTAAACAGTGGTATCTACAGCGCAGTCAGCAATCACAAACACCCTAAATAATTGTTTTTTTTTAGTATTTTTTTTGTCATTTTTTCTTTTTGTTATTTTTTTTTTCTTAAATGATACTTTTAGCTGCTCATTGGAATAAATTCTGCAGCACACGAGCTGTGAGCTTTCGAGTCGCCGTCAAAGGACCGTAAGGCTTTCCTGGCTCCCTGGGCACCGCGAGGGCGGGAGGGGAGGAATAGGGGTGGGGGACACGGGGCGTCTCCGGGGGGCACGGGGACTCCTTTGGTTATCAGTCACTGAGTGAGGGATGGGGAGGGGGCCAGGGTCCTGCCCAAGGGGCACCGAGCCCAGCGGTGCCAGTGCCCGCGGCGGAGCTGGTGGCACCAGGACAGGGCCATCGGCCTCGACGCTCCGCACGTGGGGACCGCCAAGGCTGGGGAAGGGAGGCAAGGGGGAGCTGGCCAATAGCGACACACCACCTGCCGCCCCCCGGCACCCAATTGGCTGGGTGGAGACCTGCTGATTGGCGAGAGGCCCCTCTGGACCAATGGCGTGGCAGCGCAGGCAGCACGGTCCCGCTCCCCTCCATGTGCCCCCGGCCTCGCACCCGGCTGCTGCCCGGGGCCAGCCCCGCCGCCGGCCCCCCGCCCCGCGGGGAGCGTCCCCCCGCCACCCTCCCACCCCGTCCCCTTGCACACGCCGCCGCCTCCCGCTCGGAGGGGCGCAGACCCCGCGGGGACGGCCCTGAAAAGTCTCACGGTCCTGCTGTGGCGTTGCGGACATGTGCAGTACAGTGCATGGCAGTATCAGCTGAGCACAAAAACCCCTCTCCCCACCCCCCTCACCCCACAGCCGGCTACACGTAGCCAAGACCACGTTCCAAGCTGGTCAGACATGCATGCATATTTGTGAACATTTACATAGGGCTGGCGTCCGCTCGGAGGCTCCCAGGCGTCAGCAACGCGCGCCGCGAGGGGAGGGCGGCCCTCACGCCACCCCCCCGCCTATCACCCTCCTCACTAAGGAATCATGCAAAACCACGGCAACGCGGGATGGCTGGAGCCGGGCGGCGCCATCTCCCCTGGCCCCACACCGCCCGGCCCCAAACGGTTATGGGGAAGATATGGCAGCGGGGGGGATGCTCACAGCTCCCCCCCGCACCGGCTGGGGCAGAGCCAGGGGTAGCACTGAAAATACACCACGAGGTTCTGGATTAACCCCGTCCCGTGGCCCCCGGCCGGGCTCCCCCGCCCCAGCCGCCCAGCCAGCAGGACGGGGCATGGGGCTATTCCAATCTATGGCAGCGGGATAGAGAAACGGCAGCAGGAGCCGCGGGCCAGGCGGACACCTCATGCCCATGGCTGCAAGGATGGGGCTGGGTCTCCCCCCTTCAGGCATCATAGGATGCCACGGCCCAGCCCCAGGAGCTGTGCTGGGAATAGAATGAACAGGGAGAGGGGCCAGGGCTGTGCCAGCACCATCCTCCCACTGGCTAAGACCCCAAACAGCCACAACACTCCGGGGCTCCGCTGGGAAGTCGAGGCGGGAGAGGGGCTGCGTGCGGAGCGGGGATGGAGGCGATCCTGCCCCGGCCACACAGCAAGGCTGCTGGTGTCCGACCTCGGCCACCTCCTCTGGCTGCCCCCGGCCCGGCGCTGTGGCTCGGGATGCATCGACCCGCGGCACTCCCTTCTCTCTCCTCCATGAGCAACGTCGAGGGGAGGAGCCGCTGGGGCAAACGGCCATGGAACCAAAAGCGCGACAGGAAAAGGAAACAGGGAAGGGGGGAAACAACCTACCATTAAAAAAAAAGGTGACAAAAGGGAAAAAACCCTAATTCCCTAATGGAGTACAAAGACCTGGAAAGTGATGGAGCAACAATAGCGTCTTTGGAGCGCGGAGGGCACGGCCACGCGCCTCCTGCCTCCAGCACAACACGATTCGGGGCCCCAGGAGCGCAGCCGAGTCCGTGCCCGGCGGGGAGGAGGAGGGCTGGCCGGGAGCCCGGGCTGCTCAATGCTCACCACATCGAGGAGAGGCTTTGGGGAGGGGGGGTAAGCACAGGGTCAGGCCCTAGCAGCGGGCAGCGGCCCCCACCCCTGGCCCGGCGTCCTCGTCCTCTAGCGAATTGTGCGGCTCAGCACCCGCCTGCCTCAGTCCGCATCCCGCTGCACCTCCGACGCATCCGCCCGGCAGATCGGGCACGTGCGGTTTGCCTGCGGGCAGGGAGAGAACAGGGGTGAGTGAATGGATGCCCCACAGTACCAGCAGCACCCAGGGCCCCCCCCTGCACCACCACCACAGGCTGGAAACAGCCCCCCAGGCTGCCACCTCCCGGGACTGCCTCATCCACCCTGGCACTGCTCCCAGTGCATCCTGTGGGAAACGGCAGAGGCCATGTAAAAGGCACCCCCAGCACCCCAAAAAGGCACGGGCAGTACCTTTAACCATTTGTCGACACACTTGGCGTGGAACTCGTGGTTGCAGGGCAGGACGCGGAGAAGCTGCCGGGCCTCGAAGTCACTGAAGCACACGACACACCTGGGGGAGGCAGCCATCAGTGTGACCCCACCGTGGTAACACAGCCCCCAACCAACACCAGGCACCCCCGTACCCCCACACCAGGCACCCCGCCTGTGCCCTGGGCTCACTCACAGGGTCTGCTCGGACTGATGGCTCTCGGGGTTGAAGCGGTAGGACGGGAGGTGCTCGATGTCTGCTTTGGTGAGTCCCCGCGGCTTGGCCTCCCCCAGCCGCTCGGCCAGGTTCAGGAGCGCCTGGAGGGACACGCAGAGACTGGCTCAGCTGGGCTCATGCCCCGGCACAGCACCCCTCCAGGCTCTCCCCACCCTGGCAAAGCAATCCCCAAACACCCCCCAGCTCCCCCATCCCACTGCCCCACAGAAAGCTGGAGACAATAGTGGGAACGTCTGGTAGGAGACAGGGAGCTGCTGCATGGCACACGCCTGCCAACGCACCTCGTAATTCTCCATCTCCACATCATCCACATCCAGGTCCAGGCTGATCGTGGGTCCCACGGCTGTCGGCGACACAGGAAGCATAGAGCTGGGGTGGGCAGGACAGTGTGATCAGTGTGGAGCCACAAACCCCAACCTCCTCTCTGGCATGCCCAGAGCCACCTGTGCCAATGCCATGCCACTGTGTCCCCCATCCTGACCCCCACGCCCACTTGTATCCCCCCAGTACTCACAGGAAATAGGGCAGGAAGCTCGGGTAGTACGGGGGGGGCGGCGGAGGGGGCGGCGGAGGGGGCAGCGCCTGCTGCAGCCGGTACCGCTGGGTGTTCAGCCGCCGGGGCATCATGTGGGGGTATGGCTGCAGAGAGATAGGGTGCTCAGCACCGTGCCAGCCCCACGGCGTCCCCCCACCCCTCCACAGGACAGGCACTCACCACGCCGAATGGCAGTTCTTGGTGCAGCGGGTCGTGGGGGAGGTAATGCAGCGGCACGGAGGGGGACAGCGTGGGAGCATGGTGGGACGGGGGGTATGTGAAGCCCGCGATGGGGTGCTGCTCCCCTCGCAGGTCCACGTCATTGTCTATCCTCTGCAGAGGCTGTGCGGAAAACAGTCAGGATGGGGAAAGTGTCCCAAATACACTGCCCCAGCATTAGCAGGACAGAGGCACGATGGGCATCCCACCCATCACCCCAACTCAGACCCATGGCGGTTGCAGAAGGACAAAGCCCCCCAAGGTGGTCTTTGCTGGGCCACAGGGTGGATTGTGTCCCCAGCCCATACCCGCACCCCAACTCACCATACGCGGATGCTGGGCTTGGAGAGGTACAAACTGCCCCAGGGGGGCCATGTGGGGCGGCTGGTGGGGGGGCACTGGCGGTGGTGGGGGGTGCAGTATGTAATGGTCGCTGGAGATGATGGGGGGGAATGTCTGGTAGGAGACGGGAAGCTGTTGCATGGCACATGCCTGGATCAGCTGATGGAGGGAAGAGAAAAACAGAGGTCAGACACCACTGTGAGCACGGCTGCCCCTCCCCAGAGCCTCCCGTGCCCCCAGAGCCTTGCACTCTGCTGGGGTTGGGTCCCCATGCGACCTCTGGGCACCCACAGCCCAGGCTGTCCCCTGTGGGTGTCTGCACTGTCACTCACCGGGGGTGGGAGGCAGCAGAGCGGGTAGTGCTGTCCACTGAACATCACTGAGCATGCTGGGAGCTGCTGGGTGCTGCACCCAGGGATGTGCTGGCCGGCGTGGATGGGGAAGCCTTGCGTCGTGACGGTGGTAACCGTGTAGGAGAGAGGGACAGGTCCCTGGTGCACCTGAGGACAAAGCGCCGAGGGCACAGTCAGGGTACAGCCACAGATGAGCTGTCGTCATCCTGGCAGCAGGATGGCAGCAGGATGCTGAGCACCTGGCACTAGGGCACAACCACCCAGCACCACTGTCCCAAGGCGTGCCCAGAGGAGGGCAACTCAATGAGGCTGTGTTCGAGGTGGGTTTTGTACCCCTCTTAGCTTCCCATGGCTTCCAACCCAGCACTGCCACCGTGAATGAGGGTGACAGCTGTGGCATGAACACTATGAGAGGACAGTCTCCAGCCCCTGGGAGCAGGGACCAACCTGGGTACACCCAAACTGGCAGAGGGAGCCCAGGGTTTAACTGCTTGCCGGACACTTGGCAGCTTCAGAGCTGGGTGCTCCCAGCAGCAACCAGCCATCCTGATGGGACCTTCTGTTGGGACCACTGCCCCGGGGCCACCAGAAGGCCACATTTGGGACTGGGGGCTGCTGCACGTACCTGGTCATGCAGATCCACCATGAATGGGTTCTGGTGGGGCGGGTGAGCGGCCGGGTGAAGCATTCGTGGCGGCGTGCTGGGGAGAGCGTATGCGCGGGGCTCATCTACAGGGCCGTGCGGCTGCTGGGGGAAGGCAGGGTGCAGCTGGGGCTCATCCTGGCCCAGCAGGGCTGCCAGAGGTCGTTCGCGTCGTCCCCACTGACGCCTGGCAGGGGGGCTGCGGGGCCACCGCGGGAGAGAAACAGAGCAGGAGTGACCCCCCGGGCCAGGGGCACCACAGCCCCGGGCAGGGTGGCCGCAGGTGGGTCAGTGACAGCTCGGCTCCTGGGGTGAGGTGCTGAGGGCATCGAGCTCCAGAACCGGCTCATCTGATCATCCTGCACATGTCCGCAGCACAAAAGGGATCTCTGCTCCCCAGGGACCCATCGGCCGGGCCAGGAGAATGTGCTTCCCTGTCACAGCGTCCCCCCAAGACCCCCAGGAACCAGTGCCTTGCCCCAGCAGATACACGGAACCATCCCCGTGCCCCCACACCCACGGGTGACAGGGCCCCGCACCCCGTACCTTCGCCGGAGGTGGTCGGGGCTGCTGCAGGGTCCCCCCGAGAAACGACGCTGGTTAAAAGGGGCAGAGGGTGGCCGCCTATTCACTGCCAGTTCCCATGGTCGCATTGGTGACGTCGGGAAGCGGATGGGCACTCGGGACCTCAGGCTCCAGGCAGGGCGAGACACCAGCACCTTGGATCCTGCAAGAAGGACACTGGGTCATGCCAACCCTAGGGCTGCAGGAGCCCCATATCCTTCCCAGGCCTGGGTACTGCAGCCCACTCCCCACTGCTTTCTCTGGAAAAGGGAAGTAAGGCCGGGGCAGTGCGATGGTGCCACGGATGTGCTGGAGCTGCAGCACACCTGGCTCCTGCCTGTGCCACCTCCACACTGGGAGCCAGGAGCCCTTCCCGTGCCCAGTACTGCCACCCGCACAAGTGACTCTGGGGCACTCCAGGGTCACTGCCCCTGCATGGCTCAGCCTGATGTTTCCTCCAATGGGGATAGCAATGCCAATGAAAGCTTCTGCTGCTTGGGCACCTAAACCTTCGCCCACCCTATCTCCTGGGGGTGGATGCCACCCTTAAGGGCGTTAGGAAGAGCCTGTCTACCCCTGCATTTACTATCCCCCCCCACTGCAAGGCCAAAGCCACCCCCCATGCAAGACACAGACACTGAATGAGAGAGAAGCACTGTTTTCCACAAGCAATGAAGGGCCCTGTGGCTGCAGCAGTATTCCAGGCTGCTCGCCGGCACACAGGGAACCTGAACCACGGCAGGAGCTGGAGTCCAGCATATGCTTGGCCAAGCCAGGCTCCAGTGCTGCTCTAGGGGCTGCTCTCCCTTGCTGGGCTTTGGAGCTTGCTGCTTCAGACTGATGCTGCTACCCCAGAGACAGGCACAGGCAGACAGCGGGGCTCACGGCTCTGCTCTGGCTCAGTCTGCCCATGTCAACTCTGCTGCATCCAGGGCAGAACCACACATCCCCATGGAGGGGGCACAGGGACAGGCTGCACCTAGAGCTGGGCAGGCAGCCCTGCTCCCCTGCCAGCCCCAGCGGCAGGGGTCAGTGGGCACACAGCCCCAGGCCCTGCCTCACAGCCCCTCCTGCCCCCAGCCTGGCCTGTGTCCCCAGGCCACACAGGTCCACCCCCAGCCCCAGGGAAGCCTGGCACTGCACATGGGACACATCTGCATGGGGAGGCTGCGCTGCCCCATATGTCCAACCCCACCCCCCCCCAGGCATCCTCCTGATGCTCCCCTGCTAGCACCCTTTGACCTCCACAGCCACGGCCTTGGCACTGCAGTCCACACATCCCTAAATCCTGCTCGCCTGCAGGCTGCTGGTGCCCTCCCAAAGCAGCTCCTTCAGATCCACATCCTGTTCCTCAGTGCACATGACAGAGTCACACCAGGGCCAGGAAGGGCACTCTGAGCCCAGGGAGTGCTGCTCAGCCCCATGAGGAAGCTGGGGGGTCTCAGCCCAGCAGGGAGAAGCCACATCTGGGTGACATGCATCACACCAAGCATGGCAGAAAGTCACCAGAGTGAGCCCTGTGCCACACAGAGGGGTCTCAACCTCACACCCACCTACCAAACCATGCTTAAAGCTGAAAGCAGATTCTTCTCTGCTATTTTGGAGGGGGACCCCAAAACCCACAAGCTGAGCCCCCCAGAAACCTGCCTGGGATGCTGCTGGGGAAGGGGCCACACTCACGGATCGGGTTTGCCCCACAGGTGCTTTATTTTGCCCCCAAACTCCTGTCCATGTGCCCTGTGCCAGCAGCTGGGGCCGAGTTGTTGCAGCGGTGCTCCAGGGTTAACCCCGCTCCCCGGGAGCCTCCGAGGTGCTGCTGCTTCAGTTCCACATCCTCACTCTCAGAGCACACGTGGTACCAGGGCACCTTCCAGACCAGACATCACAATGATGGGCTCGGGGACGGGAAGTGCCTCTCTCCACACAGGACACATTAAAGCCATGCAGGAGGTCCCAACACGGCACCCCGAGCACACGGTCCCCGCCGGTGGGACACCCCCGACTCGCGGGACGGGGGTGGCTCGGCACCGTCCTGCCCCAACCCGCACCCACATGGCGCACACCCAGCTCCCGCCTTGCACCCGCAGCCACCCCAGGCAGCGGCACCGCGGCCCCGGAGCGGAGGAGACCGCTCGGTGCGGCGGGGGGCGAGGCGGCTCCCGGGCCCTGCCGAGAACAAAGTTAGCAGCGCGCCAGCGCTCACGCCCGGTGCCATCTGCTCGGGCAGCACCGGGCTCCGGGGGAGCCGCCCGCCCCGCCGCCGCCTCCCCAAGGGTCCTGCCGCCCGGTACACCCCGTCGCCGGCTCCGTCCGTGCACCCCGGGCTCCCCCGCACCTCCTTTCCCCGCCAACACCCCCGGGAGCGGGGTCTCCGCTGGCCTCGCCGCACCGGCAGCCCCCCTGAGGGCCGGGACTCTCCGCTGCCCCGACCCCAGCCCCGCCGGTCTCCGGGACGGCGGCACATCCCGGAGCCACCCGACGGGCGCAGCAGCCCGCCGGGGCACCGCAGCCAGCAGCACCCCAGCGCTCAGCCCCGCCGCGGGTGCAGCGCCCGGCCGGCAGCCCGCGCCCCCCGCCGGTGCCGGGCCGGGAGCTGTGGCTTTAACGCGCGGGGGCGGTGTCTTAGCAACGGTCTCCATGGAGAGGGGGCCCGTAGCAACGGGGCCGGCCCCGCAGGACCGACCCGCACCGCGCACCGGCCCCGGTACCGGGCGCGCCGCCTCACCCCGCTGGGACGGGCACCGCGGGGGCACCTTACCTGCGGTCCGTCCCGCCGCTGCCATCGCTCCCGGCACACTAGGTCTCAGCAGCTCCGTGAGCCCGGTGCGCCATGGGGACAGCAGCACCGTGTGCCCGGGCAGCCCATGCCATGCTCCTGCTGCCAGGTGGGTGGGAAAGCCGGGGCAAGGGGGAAGGTGAAGGCAGGATCTCGGCTCCCATCACCCTCCTCACCGGCACGGGAGCATGGAGAAGCTGTCCCCATCCCACCCAGCACACTGAGACCTCGCCTGCACCCACCGCCTGCCAGGCACACGCAGCTCTCCCACGGTATCTCCACACAGTTCAAGCTTCCAGGCACCAGAAAAGCCCCTTTTGCTTCAGAAAAGCCTCCCTCTCTCTCCCCTCGACTAAACAAAGAGCAGGAACCCCTCAGAGCATCCCCTCCAAGCGAGCAGAGCAACGCCGGGAGCTGCACACCGAGGCTGTGCCCCCGGCAGGACCGCTCATCCCCAGTCCAACCCCTGCGCTGAGGAGAGCACATCGCAGCGGCTCTGCCGAGAACCAGATGCTGCATCCAAGGCAAACTTCCCCGTGTTAAAACGCACACTTAGAAATTCCCAGGTAGGCGAGCGAGCCAGCCGGCAACCCTGATGTAATGCCTATAAACCAGCCCTCCCCTGACAGCTGGGCTTTAAAGTGCTAACAACCGAAAGGGAGCTAATTAATTTGTAACATCACCCCTTTCAAAGAAAACCTCAGATCCCTGGCAACAATTTAATGATTCAGCAGGCTCATCATTGCCATGAACAGTTGGAGTCTGGTTTGCCCCATCCCAACCCCGTGCCCAGCTCTATATGCCACGACTGCCAACAGCACCACAGCCAACTGCTTCTATCCCCCGGGTAGGGTCACACAGGACAGGAAAGCAGCATACCAGGGTATCATGCAGACCTATGATGGGGTCCAGAGCCATGTGCACCACAGGCGAAAACAGCCAAAGGACTCAATCAGCCCACACCTGAACAATCACCCTGAATGTCTGCACCACTACAATCTCTTTGCTTCGAGAGCTTGGAATTGGAGGGAAACAGCACTCTGCACTTTGACCTTGTCACTATTTGCAGGCAGAGGCAAGCACTGCACCTTTGCAAGCCTACCAGGACATGGTCTGATCCTGGGCAAAGCACCATCAGCAGGCAGAGGCCATAGATGGTGGATGTCCGAGCAGACACTCCTTCCAGACCCACTCCAGCATCACCAGCTCCCCCACGGCCAGCAGCTATTGATGGCTTTGGGATGGCGGCAGGAGAAGCCATCGGTGGAGCACGGCTCACCTCCCTGTGCTCCCTGCCCAGCCAGGCTGCACAGTCCCAGTGGCAAAGCCAGGTCCAGCCACACCATGTGCAGCCATGCCGAGCCTGCCTTGCCAGCTCCAGTGAGGACGAGGCACTGCACATCCAGCCACAGGGCTACAGCATGTGGGAAGGGTCAGCTCACATGCTCTCAAGAACAGCCACCAGCATCACACGGCCCTAGGTCTGGGATCTCTGGCTGGAAGAGCCGTGTTAGGAGCCCACGTGATGCCCCTCTGATGCTACACCAATACAGCAGCACTGGCCAGTGCTTCTAAGCCAGCACAAGGGGTCCCCAGTCCAGCTACCAAAACCTGTGACACCCCAAGTGAGCAGAACCTCCCATGCCAGACGGCCTTAGAAAGCTCTCGACTTGCAAGGGCTGCTTAAGCTGAATCTGCCTGCTCTCCAGCCAACGGACAGCCCATCCTTTCCCTCATGAGAGCCAGGGGCCAGCAGGATCGAAGCCTCCCGAGCCCAGGCTCTTTAAGACACCATCTGCTGCCACAGACATGTCGCCTCCCCTGCCCCATATATAGGTCAGGTCTGTCACAGGATTAGCTGGGGTGATTCGACTGGTGTGAGCACGGTTCTCACTGGAGGTATGCTCTGCCCCATCCTCTCCCCAACACCCAGCATGCCACAGCTCACCTCCATGTTCTCCCCAGCCTTTTCCCAAGTCCAGGGAGAGCAAGAGGCCCTAGATCCTCCCCTCCCCAGTGCCTTGAAAACAAGTGGGAAGAAAGCAGCACCAAGAACTGGTGCAGGGGAGAGCAGAAGAAATGTCCCTGCTCTGCCCAAGGCCACCAGGGTCCATGGGACATCGCAACATGAGCAGGTAGCACAGGGTGAAGCGGGGGGGTGAGGCTCTCCCTCCCTGCGCCGCACAGCCCCGAGCAGCCGAGGCAGGACGCCTCTGCCGCGATCACACGCCTCCCACTGCCACCCCCGGGCTGACAGCACTCCCATCAAACGCCTCCAGCCACACACACGTGGAGGATGCTGACATGAGGAGCGAGTAGCTGCACAGGCAGCGGAACTGATAACGCCCAGTTTCCTGTCGATCTCTCCCACGTGGATTCTCTGATGT